CATGCAAAGGAAAACCTTAACTATATTAATAGCAAATTGTTTAGCATAGTTTGTCGCAAACATTAGTTGCAGTTACATCAAGCAAATAATTCATACGAAAGAAAATGGAAAGATAGTGACACAAATGATTACATTTCTGGACAGTTTATAGAAGACAGCATATTGAATCATGTAAAGGAAAACCTTAACTATATTAATAGAATTAGTCAACAAAGTATAATTGGAAAATTAGGCAGCAAATTGCAAATATGAACAAAAATTTGAAAAAAGTAGAAAAAAATTAAATAGAAGGAAGTTGGACAAACTGCAAAACGAATATATGAACAATTTTAGTAAAACTACAAAGATGATAAAAGAGAAATAGAGAGCTGACCAAATTAAGAACGTGTAAAACAATGCGGAAATTGCACTTGCAATAAAAAAAAAACAGAAGTAGAAGAAAGAAATTAACCAAATGAAGAAGCGAGATGAATGAATGAAAGATTTACTATAAAGTTTATATATTTTAAACGTATTTTTCTCTCATATTTTCAGTATATATTTACATTATTGTATTTAGTGTACTACTACTACAAATATAATGTGAATACTACAACGAGTTGCAAAAGTTTATAGTTGACTAATTTCACTTTTTTTTTCCAAATCGAAATACAGTCGCGATTTAAACGAAAATCCGCAGATGAAAAAAAAATATAAAAAAACAAACACCTTTTAATCGTTACAGTTTATCTGTCCAAACGAAACACACTGCAGTGTCCTTTGTCGACGTATTCATGTTGTTGGCCACTTTTGTCCCATCCGGTTTTTGTTGGCATCGTCATTGTTGTCCCGCGATACTCAATCAATTTAAATTGCATCGCAGCTGAAAATTGCGAATAATTCGCCGATTTTTTTTCCCCCAACCGATAGTAGTCTCATCATTCCTACACACTGTACATACATTTTTTTTTCGCTATATCTCCCGCAACAAAAACATTTGTTGCCATCCACATTTTCAGTTTCAGTTTCCTCTATTTTCACCATAAAATACAGTACATTTTTTTGTGCAAATTATTTTTCGGTTTTCGCATTTTCGTTCTGCTGCTGTCCGTTCAGTTCGTGCGCGCTTTATTTGATAAACACCATTATTTTGTATATATACATTTTTTTTTGTGTTATAATTCCATCGATTATTCGCAAATAGTCGGTTTGATTCCGCGCTTGCATGACAACAGTGTTTTTCCATTCGTTTAATAACTTTGCACGTCAAAAAATAAAACGCAAACACAAAAAAAAAAGTTCTTTTTCATTGCGTTCCACGATGAAATTGAATGAAGTTAATAAATAAATATGAGCTAATAAAGTACATCAAAGCCGGACATTGTTTTATAAATAAATGAAAACGTTTTTTTCTTTTAATTAATCAATTTCATTCCAATTTCAATTTAATTACAAATTATTACTGTTTCATCACAATTTATATTACATTTTCAATAAGTTTTATTAATTTATTACAATTTTTATCCTTTTATAATTCAAAAGTCATAAAACTTTAACATTTTTCTTTCTTTAAATAACTTTTAGCGTATTTTAACAATGTATTTAGTTTAAAGCGGAACGTGTCTTATTGATGCATTAAAACGGGCTGCGTTAAAAGCGTATTGAAGTAATAGGAAAATTCATGGGGAAATCGGACTATTTTACATCCGATTCCTCTATAAAATTTTATTGGAAATCCAAGAAAACCGGCGCCAGGTGGATTCGAACTGAGCACGTTCCCTATCGAAAAAATGAACAAAAACTAACATGATAAATGCACGCTACGCTTTTCCCCAAATATTTTGTCTTTATTGCAAATGATTGTGAATTCATTATTTTTTTCAGAACCTGAAGTTTTCCATCTGGTAACGAGTCTTGCGCCGACGGCGAAACTAGGTGAGTGAATTATTTAGTTCGCATTTCAACGTTATTTCCGTTCGTTTCATAATTTTTTTTTTGTCTGCAAATATTGCGACTTCGTCTCGCTCGGCGTTAAATAAATGGATACACACAACAAACATATCGAGTGCGACTGTTGAAAAGTTCTTTTCTACGTGCAGGAACGATGAAATTTTAGATGATTGAAGCGAGGTTTTTCGATGAAAAGCGAGGCAGCACACACACTCACACACAATACGACCGAAAGTGTCGACGAAAAACGGAATGTTGGTGGAAATCAAACAACGGCAAAGAAGAAAGAAATGAAGAAAGAAACGTGCGGGGACGTAGAAAGATTGTGCTTTAATTGCGAGACGATTGATTTGTTTTTTTTCTTCTTCTGATTTTCTCCGACGAGATTTTCCAATGGAATGAAAACGCGAGCGTATTGTGTTCGCTTTTCAACTATTTCGTTTGGTTCGTCTGAAAATCTCTATTATTTCCATGGATATAATGGATTTTATATCTGTTGTTGCATCACGAAAAACAAACCCTATTTATTTTTTTCTACTCACTTAAGACATTAACATAATGTGTATAAAAAAATGTCATTTATTGACGTGGTTGGTTTTATTGCGCGCTTTTGTCTTGCGCGCTTTTGTCCAGCGCGCTTTTGTTACTGTATTAGCGCATTTAATACTTTAATAAACACTGTTGTTTCTGAGGAATATTTAACTAATTTCCAGTAGTTTTTAAACAATTAAAAAATGACATTAAACAATTAATTTGTACAGAATATGCTGAATAATGTAAACAAAATAATTGTATGAAGCTTTTCACTCCATTCGGCTTTATCTCTCCATTGAAACCGTCACCTTTACACTCAAGAAGAAAGTTAATTAATGAATGGATCTGCATTTCACTCTTACAATTTTCTGTACAAACTTTCTTGTAAGATTCTCCTCGCTTTCGGTAAGGGAAACTCGATAAGTAGTGTCGTCGAAGGCCTTTAATTCGACTTCATTTATCAGAAAACATTACCTCCCCCGAATCCGGGCCGGAAGTTTAAATGGGATTAATTTATTTATACGTGCGATTATTTCAACGTAGTGTCGCAGTTCTGCTTCCACCCCACGAAAGTCCGGGTTTGCAAGTCTTATTCCGAGCAATTTCATCCCTCCGGTTTTATGGAAACCGTCTTTCTCGAGCAATCCCAGCGAAATCTCTGTATATGTGCAGCAGCAACAGCAGCCAAACAATGAGCAGATATTTTACAACAATCGCTTCTGGTTTTACTTCTTGCATCCAGATTCTTTGTGGAGCTTTTGCACGCGCACAGGCACACACATAGAATGGAAACTTTTAATGGTTTTGTCATCAAATATACAAACGGATTCTTGTTCGTGATTATTACACATTAAATCGTATAGTTTTGTCTATTGTATCACCACTTAACAACCTTCTGCAGCCCATAAATATTTGGGTTTGATCAAGAAACGGTTGTATTTTTCACAAGGTCAAAACCTCTTAGTCAGGGGGCCGAAAAGAGAGGAAGTTTTAGCTAGAGGGTCGAACGGAGAAGTTGGAGTTAGCTGGAGAAACGAAGGAAGAGCACTGTCTTCATACTTACTAACTTAAGAGGAGAATGTAACTGTTAGTTAATAATCCATGAGATCAACTATTGTATACTTGACTTCTCAATAAAACTCCGATGTGTATAATAAAGTTAACTAAGAATATTGCATTTAATATTCAAAAACCCTTCTAAGACTGCACAACGATATATCTACGAGATAATCCAATTCAATGATCTGGAATCTTTTAAACTATTTCAACGATTTAAACAGTTTAAGCAACTTTTGTATAAGATTTTATGATCATTAATCTAGATTCTTGCAGATTCTGTGCAACTTTCGCATCAAGTTTTATGATATAGGCGACTATAATCGTTTAAGCCAGATTTTTATCAATTAATCATTTCAATGGTTTAATAAAATTTGCTGAAATTACATTAAAATCAATACACTAGATTCTTGTAGATTTGCTTAGATTCTCACCATTTTAATGGTTTAATTCAGAACATTTTCAATTGGTAATTTCAATGGTTTATCACAATTGCTCAAATTACGTACAAATTAATAACGTAAATTCTTGCAAGTCTGTTGAACTCATCACCATTCCAATAGTTTAATTCAGAACTTTTCCAATTCTTTATAAAAATTACTATAATTACGTGCACAACAATAATGAAGATTCTTGCAAATTTGGTATGTTCATGACTATAAGTCAGAACTTTTCCAATTGTTGAGTTCATTGGTTTATCCAAATTGTAGAAATTTTACAGATTTTGGCCCAATCAGATTTGAACTTATACAACTTTCGTAATCAAAATTGCTAATATCAAATGCAAATAATAATACTCAAGATTCTTGCAGATTTGCTGAGCCGATGATCACTTTAACGGTTTCATTTAGAACATTTTCAATTGATGATTTCAATGGTTGATCAAAATTGCTAATATCACATGCAAATCAATACTCTAAATTCTTGCAGAGTTTGATTCTTATTGAGTTTATGAACATTTTAATGGTTTCATTCAGAACTTTTCCAACTGGTAATTTGAATAATTTATAAAAAAATTGCTAAAATTACATTCAAATCAATACACTAGATTCTTGTAGATTTTCTTAGATTTTCACCATTTTAATGGTTTATTTTGGAAAATTTTAATTGGTAATTTCACAATTGCTCAAATTACGTACAAATTAATAATGCAGATTCTTGTAAGGTTGTTGAGCTCATCTGTATTCCAATGGTTTAATTCAGAACTTTTCCAATTGATTATTTCAATTCTTTATAAAAATGACTATAATTACGAGCAAATCAATAAGTCAGAACTTTTCCAAATTGTAGGAATTTTATGCTTATAGATTTGGTTAGCAGATTCTTGCAGATTTGCTGAGCCGATGATTTATTCAGAACATTTTCAATTGATGATTTCAATGGTTGATCAAAATTGCTAATATCACGTGAAAATCAATACTCAAGATTCTTGCAGATTTGTTGAGTTGATGAACATTTTAGTCAGAACTTTTCCAACTGGTAATTTTAATAATTTATAAAAGAAATTGCTCAAATTAATTGCATATTAATAATGTAGATTCTTGCAGATTTGGTGCGTATTACTGTTTCCAATTTGTAATTTATACGTTTTATCAACAAAAGTGCAGAACTGACACGCATCAAATATCGTCGAGCGTGAACGAATTCGACGGACGGAAGCTTTACAAACATTGTTATTAAAATTTGAACTCCAAAATAATAATAACACCAACAATATTAACGTACGCGCATCACGCGAACAATGAATCCACGTAACAAAAACAAGAAATGTATGCATCGAATTGATGTGCGTGTGAACAGTTTGCATTTTAAACGAGTTCATTGTGCGAGGCTCAAAGTTTCATTGGATTTTGTGCGAGGATTGAATGTGCTTGGAAATAACCCTTTCACTAACAAACAATAATTAAACGCGAACTAAGCTCGCACCTGAGTAGGGTCATTGCGGTTGGACGTGTTTGCGTGTGTCTGTAATCCTGAAAAACGCATGTTCAAAAGCCGTTTCTGGAAACCCAAAAAAAAAACTTGTACGAAAATTGAACAATTCTCGTCATTCCACCTTGTAACAATTGTAATAATCACTGCAAATAAACCTTTATTGTTCGCTGCAACAAATTCGGCGATTTTCGTCGTTACAACTTGAAACAATTATAAGGAATAACGTGAAAGTTTCATCGGATCGATTTTGTAATTAGCGATTTCGGATATTCCTCTTCTTGCGGACTTTAATTAGTTTTCCAGTTTAAACGAATTACGTTCATCCAGGTTATCCGAAGTTTTCAATATGGATATTTCATGGTAATTCTTCTGTATTGTATATTTTTCGTTTATTTCCTTTTCTTTTTCGTACTAAAATATTCATAACGAAATTTTAAATTATTTAAATTGTTTTCAAGATTTTTCTATTGCTGCAGTTATAATCTATATTAAATGTAAATTTTTATAGAAAAAATTACAAAAATAATTAAATTATTTAAGACAAATTTATTTCATTTCATTATTTCATCTTTTATATAATTCCATTTGATTACTTGAATTATTGATTTAGTAAAAATATGATTGTTTTATCTTCGACAATTTTTATTGATTTCAGTCGTAATAACTTCGTTTTTCTGTCTTGATCAGTTTTCCTTTTCGATTGTGTAATTCTTCAATCTTTTTGCTTCAATCTTAATGAATTTTATTCATTTCGATCAATAAATATAATATTTTTCTTGTTCTAGCTAATTGATGAAAAATCTTCATTTCTTGAGTTCTTCCATTCAAATTCTTCAGTTTTATCGATACTAAAACTTATGTTTATACATATTTCTTTCTTAATGCTGTAGCTAATGTCTCCTTTTCTATTATTGCTTCAATCTCGATGAATTTTATTCACTTCAATGAATACAATTAAACTTCTAGAAGTATTTATGAAAAATCTTCATTTCTTGATTTCTTCAATTCAAATTCTTCAGATTTATCAATACTAAAACTTGTTTTTATATATATTTTTGTTCTTGATGCTGTAGGTAATATCTCTTTTTCTATTATTGCTTCAATCTCGATGAATTTTATTCAATTTAATGAATACAATTTAACTTCTATAAGTGTTGATGAAAATTTTTCAATTCTTGAGTTCTTCAATTCAAATTCTTCAGTTTTATCAATAGCAAAACTTGTGTTTATACATATTTTTTTCTTGATTCTGTAGGTAATATCTCTTGTTCTATTATTGCTTTAATCTTGATGAATTTTATTCACTTCAATGAATACAATTAGACTTCTATAATTTTTGATGAAAAATCTTCATTTCTTGAGTTCTTCAATTCAAATTCTTCATTTTTCTTTGCTACTTATTTTGCTATTAATCTTTTCAATTTAATATTCGTATTATAATTAATAATGACACTTTTCGC